CCTCTCTACCTTATCTGCTGTTGTTCAATTCTCTCCCTTGTTTCCCCGCCCCCCTTTCCCCTCACAACCTCTTATATGTAATTTTGTGTAACATTGAGGGTCTCCTACCATTTCCATATGCTTTCCCTTCTCTCTCCCTTTCTCTTCCCCCACTCGTCTTTGTTTAATGTTAATCTTTTCCTCATGCTCTTCCTCCCTGTTCTGTTCTTAGTTGCTCTCTTTATATCAAAGAAGACATTTGGCCTTTGTTTTTTAAGGATTGGCTAGCTTCGCTTAGCACAATCTGCTCTAACGCCATCCATTTCCCTGCAAATTCTATGATTTTGTCATTTTTTAGTGCTGCGTAATACTCCATTGTGTATAGATGCCACATTTTTTTTATCCATTCATCTATTGAAGGGCATCTAGGTTGGTTCCACAGTCTAGCTATTGTGAATTGTGCCGCTATGATCATTGATGTGGCAGTATCCCTATAGTACGCTCTTTTAAGATCCTCAGGGAATAGTCCGAGAAGGGTGGTAGCTGGGTCAAATGGTGGATCCATTCCCAGCTTTCCTTTTTTTAAGATGACGCAGGAGCATTGAGGTTTTTGCAGGTGAAAGTATTTAATCTAACGAGTGCCGGTGGGGAGTGGGGTTTAGTGGTTAGGGATTCATTCTTAGGGGAAAGCAAACAGGAACACAGTTACGGTTTCCAGCACCACGGACAAGCTAGGCAGAGTGTCACCTTGCCAGATTGTGTGACATCCGGCATGGGTTTAGTTTGGAGCCCGGGACGCGCCATCTTGCAGAAGTGAGGGCTGAGTGCGTGGACGGTGCAGCCTCTGTGGCTGCTTGACTGACAGCTGGTGACCCTGTGCGGTTGCTTGTGTCCCCCAGGTCGATGTGGCCGCCTCCGTCTCCAAGATTTCCATCCAGGAGAAGCTCAAGGAGCCCAGCCCCGAGGAGGAGAGGAAGAAGTGGGAGGAAGGTCGCATCGACTACATGGGGAAGGACGCCTTCGCGCGCATTCAGGAGAAGCTGGACCGCTTCCTGCACTGATGCGCGTGCGTGGCGGCCACCGCTGACCCCTCCCGGGGGGAACCCTGTGCCTCTATTTATGATTCACCAACTCCAGTGCCTGCCCTGAGTTATGTAGATGCTGAAGGTCCAGCTCCAAGCCACCCTGGCTGCCCCCGAGCTCCCTACCCTGCCTCTCGGGCTTTCCTGAGAGGTCAATCCTTCCCTTTGTCAGCAAAAGAGAACAAGCCTATAGCCCTAGTGGACCCCGGATGCTGGTCTCTGGTCTTACTGGAAAGAGTTCTCCAGTGCTGTGTAGCCTCAGTGCTGCCTGTCCAGCCTTTATGGAGTTCCACTTCGGTGCCTATCTTAATTATCTAATTATGCATATCTTAATTATCTGGTTAACCTCATAACATTAGACTGCATATTCCGTACCTCTGAGCCTGTCATCCCAGCAGCTCGGGAGGCTGAGGCAGGAGGATCTCGAGTTCAAAGCCAGCCTCAGCCAAAGGGAGGCCCTAAGCCACTCGGTGAGACCCTGTCTCTAAATAAAATGCAAAATGGGGCTCGGGGACAGGGCTCAGGGGTTGAGAGCCCCTGACTTCCATCCCAGGTACCACAAAAAAAAAAAAAAAGACTCTCACTCGGAGGGGTAGCAGCTTGATCTGCACTAACAGAAACTAGAGATAGATGCTTTTTGCTAAGCGATGACATCAGCAAGCAGTGGGTGACCTCTGAGCAGTCCTTCCTCGGTCTCTGCATGTCTACCTCAGTGCCAAGTACCTTCGGTGATCACTCTCCAAAGCCATTTCCTCTGGGCTCCTCTGGGAGCACGCTCAGTGTCCTGGGGATGGGACAGCTGCTTCCAATTCCAAACCACCATTTCACACCTATCCTCATCACTGGCACCGATGCGAAGGGCTGCGTGTGTCACTGGGTGGCCATGATAGGGGATTGGGTTCTAGGGGATCCCTCTCCAACAGGCTGGGCTGGGACATGGTGAGAACACTGTTTTATGGTGTCTGTCTGTCTGTCTGGCCGGCCTCTGTCACTCAAAGCAGGTTGACCCTTTAGGGAGAGCCCTTGGGGTGAACTCATGGTGTTGACTGAGGCGTCCGCCGGTGATCCCCATCCAAGCAAAATCGTGAATATATCACAGAACAAAAGAGTGTTGGTGCTATGAAACCAGAAGCCTCCGTCGAGCAAACCAGATGGACGGTATTCCAGAAAATTCATACTCGTAAATGAATGTGCATCTCTGGAAATGGGAATTCGTGGCAATGGTTTAGTGGGCTTTCAGGATTCTAGCTCCATCTAGAATGTGACTGCACCCCCGGTGCGCGCCAGTCAACCTCCTTGGAAGAGCGCTGATGGATTTGAATTAAAGTCTTAAAAAGCCGCGGAGTCTCCTCTTAAGTGTGCCTGCAAGGTTCTGAGCAATTGGGATCGTGTTTTAGAGGGCACAGCGGGAGGGGAGGTGGCTGCCTTGCTCCCAGGACAGATTCCAGTGGTCCGGTGGATTTTTCAGAATCCCTGGTGGTGGCAAAATGCCAAGCATCTTTACTTATGGTCCCTCTGAAGTCTTTTAAGGTTTTTCTTAGAGGAGCTTTTGGATTTGGGGCTCTGTGTTCTCAATTACATTTATTTGTTCCTTCATTGCATGGTTATGGAGTTACCTCTATAGGCTAAGATATGCAATCAATCAATGCATGAGAAGTTTGAAAATACTTGAAAGAATCCCAAAACATCTGCATGAGGAACACAAAATCAGGCTGGGGTGTAGCTCAATGGTACAGGAGCTTTGGGACCGGAGTTCCTAGGTTTGCTCCCCAGCACCCCAAAAAGAAAAAAATATAAAAGGTATAAAATAATGTTATTGCCTGAAAACAAATGTCACCATTTGAGATGGTGGAGAGGGGTAGAGTCTGAAAACTATGGCCCTGGGCACTGTGATGCACTGCCGCAGTCTGGCTGGGCACAATCCAGGAGCCACTTGTCAAAAGAAACGAACTTTATTTTTAGAACACACACTGCACCACACCACACCACACAGCTCTTCAGGAATTCCCTCAGAGCCCAACTGCCACCACCGGCTTCCCACAAGCCTCTCAACCTCCCCCACTCCTCCTGCTCTTGAGGCCGATTGGCTGGGTGAAAAAAAATTCCCCCAATGAGCAGCTCCGTGGTCTGAAAGGGCTGGGAAACAGCCTAATGAGCATCACCGCGGAGGAGCCAATCAGCTGGCAGCTGGAAGTTTGCTGGGACCCCTTCAGCTGTGACTCTCAACAATGCACACCTGTCATACCAGTGGCTCTGGAGGCTGAGGCAGGAGGATCTCAAGTTGGAGGCCAGCCCCAGCAACTTAATGAGGCCCTGAGCAACTTAGCAAGACCTTGTCTCTAAATTAAAAAAATAAATAAATAAAAAGGGCTGGGAATGTGGCTCTGTGGTTAAGCCCCCCTGGATTTAATCCTCAGCACCACAAAGTCAGGGAAACGGAGGCAGCTTGATCTTAAAACCGAATCTCTCAAGCTAGAAATTGAAAGGACTGACATTTGCCCTGGGGCATCGTGGGTACAAATCACAAAGCATCCCTCCCAAATCTCCCGAGTCCCTCTCCCCAAAGGGAACCAATCTCCTGCACTCTAACATCATTGACTGATCTTGCCCTACTCTGGAATTTCATGAAAATGGAGGAATTCCATGCCTAGCTTTATATGGCAAAATTTTTTTAAATTATGGTGCCATATTCTAATGTATGAATCTCCCACATTTTATTAATCCTTTCTGGTTTGTTTTTCTGGAGTATTTTCCTATGTTGCATCTGTTAACTATACATCTTAATGGGATTCAGCAAGATGTTTTCATACATGCATATGCACGGCACGTGCTAACCCAAAACATGCAGTACTTCTCTTTCTGTGCCTGGCTTATTTCACAGAATATGATGTCCTCCACTTTCACCATGTGGCTGCAAATGATGGGGTCTCCTCTTTTTTATAGCTGCATAATATTCCATGGTATATATGTACCCCATCTTCTTTGACCGTTCACCCATTGATTGGCATCTAAACTACATGTGCTTTCTCTCATTGATGAGTACTTGTTTAGGACACTTATAAATGATGCTACCATGAAATCCTTGTCTGTTGTCAGAGTGGCTTCTGGTTCCTTCAGAATGCCCACCGCATCCCAAATGGTAGATCTTTAAAATAATAGTAATCTCCTTCAATAGCTACTGCTAAAGTGATCAAAGCAATTTGCACTCCACCAGCAACATTGTGACATTGAGGGCATTCCACGTCCCCTCTAGGTACTGGACCTCATCCATTCTTGCAGCGTAAGCTATTCTAGAGGATAGGTAGTTGTGCCTCATTCAGATTTAAATTTGCATTTGTCTTGTGGTCTCTGTTGAATGCTCCCCTTATTTCTCTGTGGCTGGTCTGGTTTCTAATCCCTTTATAGCCTTTCTTTATGTACAGTATATACTAGTCCTTTGTTGGTTATGTGCAGAGGGAATACCTCTTCCCAATCTGGGGCTTGTCTTTCTCTCTCTCTCTCTCAATGGTGTCTTTAATAAATTTGAAGTATTGGCCCTTCATCTTGCGGACTCTGCATCACTAGATTCAACCAACTACGGATGGAAGATATTTAATTAGAAAATTATATCCATATTGAAAATATGCAGATTTTTTGTCATTATTGTTAAACGATGCAAAATAGTAACTATTTAGAGAGATTTTCCTTTGTATTAGGTATTATAAGTCATCTAGAGACATATACTGTGTGAAGTTTAATGTGTGGAGCTTCTATGCAAATGTAATAACCTTTTATGTAAAAGATTGAGCACCTGCAGATTTTATCTTTGGGTTCTTGGAATGAATCCTCCATGAATAGTGTTATGGTATAGTCATGAGATGTCCCTCAAAGCTCATAAATGAGACACTGCAAGAATGTTCAGAGGTGAAATGATTGGATAGTGAGAGCTATAATCCAATCAGTGGATTAATCCACTTGAATGGACTGACTGGATGGTACTGTAGCAGGTGGGGTGTGGCTGGAGGAGGGGGTCCCTGGGCTGTGCCTTTGGGGTTTCTATCCTGTCCCTGGTGAACAGAGCTCTCTCTGCTCCCTGGTGCCCTGTCCTGAGCTGCTCTCCTCCTCCAGGCCCTTCCGCCATTTTGTTCTGCCTCCCCTTGGGCCAGAGCCATGGAGTCGGCCAACCATGGACTGAACCTCATAAACCATGAGCCACAAATCAACTTCTCCTCTAAATTTGTTCTTGTCAGGTCTTTTGGTCACATCAGAAAAATTTTAAAAACTACATAATAAGGTCTAATTTTATAGACCTTTGAGATGATAATTGATATGCTCATTCCTTTCTACTTTGATTTATTTCTATTTTTATGGAAGAAATTAAACAAAATACAGAAAAGTTTAAAGAAGGAAAAAAGAATACCGTTCTGCACTGCCCTTAAACTCAACAATGGCTAGCATTTTATCATGTTAGCTTGACATGTTTCTTTGTTATATATTTTTTTTGTTGAGCCATTTCAAAATAACTTGTGATTCTTCAGCTCTGAAGATTTTCAACCTGCAACTCCTAGGAATTAGGAGATCCTTCTGCATAACTGCTTCACTGTTACCTCACCTAGAAAAATTAAATATAATTATTCCTCGCACCTATTCCATATTTAAGCTCTCCAGATGTCTGCCAAGCCTTGCTCTTCAACGCACATCACCAACACAGACAGTGACTCGAGTCTGCCGGGAAGTCCAAGGTGACAGTGTCACCTGGCTCAGTGTCTGGTGAGGGCTGTTGTCTACGTTCAACAAGGGAATTTGTTGTTGCATCTACCAGAGGGGAGGAACAGAAGGGCCAAGAGAAACCTAACTCCCTCCCAGAAAAATCTTTTCAAATTGCATTCACCCATTCATAATGGGGGAGCCTCAGGACCTCAACACTGCCCCAAAGTCCACACTCTGAACACTTGTATTGTGGATTCTATTACCAGCACCTGACATTGGGGGACACATTCAGACCCTAGGAGTCTACAGGGGACTGATGTTGAGTGTCACACTTGGCAGGGAAGAGCTAATGGCCTCAATGGGTTGAAGCTGAGATGTGGCTCAATATCCTATACTGCCCAGGAAGGACCCCACCACTGAATGATCCAGTCAAATGGTGACATAGTGTCATTGTTGAAAAAAATGGCTGTAGGGTCCAGTTAAATTTTTTATTTTCTGTTTCCTTGCTCTGTGCCCCTGAATGCATGCCACTACCATGCTGTTTTGATAACTGCCGCTTTGTTGTGTATTTTTTTTAAATATTTTTTTCTTGTCATTGGACCCAAGACCTTTATTTCATTTTTTAAAATTTTTATGTGGTGCTGAGGACCAAACCCAGTGTCTCCATGTGCTGAGCCCCAACCCCAGCCCCAATGTTGTGTATTTTTAAGTCGGTACATAGAACGCCTCCTACTTCATTCTTTTTGCTCAAAACACCTTTGCCTCTTTGGGGATTTTTTTTTTTTTGACTCCTAGGAATTTTAGGATTGTTTTCTCTAGTTCATCAGTTATTCGATAGAAATTGCATTGAATTTGTACCTGGCTTGGGGTAGTATGGGCATTTTAACAATATTGAGTCTTCCTATCCATGAACATGGGATGCCTTTTTCTGTGTATGACTCTGTCTCCAGTTTCTTTCCTCAATGTTTTATAATTTTTCATTACAGAGATCTTTCACTGCTTTAAGGAATTTTTGTTCCTGTGTGTAAGGAAGTTATTTTGCTTTTCTTTTGTTTTGGTATTTTGATGGAGAAAGGTTGATCAGTGAGTATCAACTTATTGTTAATTAGTAGTAACTTTGTGATGTACTATTGCACCTGAGCATGACTGTTAATAACAATAATGTCTGGCACATTTGGAAAAGTGAGAAGGAATTTGCATGTTTTTATCATAAAGAAATGATAGACATATAGAAAGATAGTTGTTTACCCAGATTTAAACATTATGCAACATACTCATGAAGTGAAACATCTCCTGGTACCCCATAAATATGTATAACTTTTATGTTTGTACATATTAGCTAAAAATACATTTAAATTGTGATTTTTTTTCATGAGATTGAGTTTTGAAAATTCCTGAATAATTTTTTGTAAAATGCCCCTGATTCAGGATTCATTTCATTGCTGATCCCAGAACTGAGGAAGAGGAGGGATCGTGCTCCCCTTCATGATGGGCTCCCTTGGAAAGTAGCTGATTTTATAATGTGTACCAGATTATAACCTATAAAAAAGTCCAGAGATATAGATCAATAGCTGCCCAATGGAGTCAAAATGACTCAAGGCTTCCCCTTCAGGTGTGGACTCAACAACTGCCTGGCATCCTGCAGTTACCCTTCTACCTTCCTCCTGCTGGAATGTGTATGAGATGTGTCATACTGTGGCAGTCATCTTGAGACCATGAAGCCAACTTTACCTGTTAAAAATGGTAGAGCCCATATTATCTAGGAAAGAACATACTCTTCTCTCATTTAAGACATTCTTGTTCCCAGTCTCCTCTAGTCCTCTCTAATCATTTAAGCAGTGAGTTCATGACTGCCATCTAGGATTTCCAAGAGGAGAATTTGTTAATTCATTTTCTCTCCATGAATAAATGGCAAAAATCTGGTAAGTTACTCAAAGTCAGGGGGTGTACGTAGGAGAAGAATTTTGAACGTGGACTACAGGAACAAATGAAACCACTCAGGGAGAATCTATCAGAATTTCAGAATCCTGAGAAATGGCCTTGTATCCTCTGTACCCATTGTTTCTGCCTCCTCTTGGGCCAGAGCCATGGAGTTGGCCAACCATGGACTGAACCTTGGACACCATGATCCCCAAATACACTTTCCCTCCTCTAAGTTATTCTTGTTGAGACTTGTGGTCACCATGTGGTAAGATCTGACTACAACAGCATCAATTTGAATGTTTTCCAGTTTGATGGAGTGGTTTTATCCAAAACCAACCTAAATCAGGTAAAAGATGAGGGAGCTCTTGCAGCCCATGCTCCATGACAGTTGCTATTTTGTCACTTTAATTTGTGTTGGGACTTCCCTGTTCCTCTAGATGTTCTCCCGGATAGATTCTGAAGCCTGAACTCTATGCACCGCCTCCCTTGGCTCACATTCCCTGTGGCTGCAGGTTAAATCCAGCCAGCAAAGAACTTGGCTTAACTTTCCATCACTGTGACAAAAGAACTGGCGAGACCAATTGAGAGGAAGAAAGGTTTATTTTGGCTCCTGGTGTCCGAGTTTTGGTCCATGGTTGGCCAACTCCATGGCTCTGGCCCAAGGGGAACAGAACAAAATGGCAGAACGGCCTGGAAGAGGAGAGCAGCTCAGGACAGGGCAGCCAGGAAGCCAGGGGTTGGAGAGAGAAGGGGTCAGGCACAAGAATAATGTGTTCTTCAGTTCTTTGTTGCTGTGACAAAATACCTGAGCCAAGCAACTTAGATTTATTTTGGTTCACAGTTTCACAGATCTCTGTCCGTAGTTGGCTGGCTCAGGGCTCTGGGTCTGAAGTAAGGCAGACCATCATGGTGGAAGGGTGTGGAGGAGGAACTCAGCTTAGGACAGGGCAGGAGGAAGGAGAGATGGGGGAAGAAAAGCCAGGGACAGGATATAGTCCCCAAGGCCACACCCCCAAGGAAGCATTTCCTCCAAGTAGGCTCCATGTCCTACCATCTCCCAGTTGCCCGTTCAGCCCTCAATGGACTAACCCACTGATGAGCTCAGAGTTCTCGAGATCCAATCACCTCCCCAAAGCCTACCTCTGCACTCTTGCCCTGGGGACCACACTTTCAACACAAGAGACTTTGAAGGACAGTCTGGATCTAAACCACAACAAAACCCTCTACCTATAATTCATTTCCCTCCAAGGACTTTAAGAGCCAGGGCAGGTAGGGTCAGCTGCCTGGTTAGCAGAACCCTCCGCCCTTGTCTGGGACCCTCGCCCAGGGAGACACTCTGCCCCCCTGATCTCTGGATGACAGAAGCTTCCATGGCTGGGTATCACAGTGGCTCCTTGGTTGGGTCCAATTTCAAGTTGGTGGCTAGAGACAGAACAGGAATGCATGTCCTGTGCTTGAGATGAGTGGCAGGAAGACCCTTGCCAAAGAAGTTCTTTGTTCAAGACCAGCAATGGGAGAGCTGGGAACAGGTGCAGCGAGATCTGACCACAGCTGCCTGCCCGGAAGTAACTGGCCTCAGCAAGACCCACATTTACATGCTAAGAGATATGTTAGAGGGGGCCCTTATAGGATGTTAGGCCATGTGCAAATTGGAATAGGCTCACTGAGAGAGGGCTATTCAGCCAGTGTCAGTTTCTAGTCCCCAAACCTATATGTGCTGATTGTCCCTTGATTTCCTTGCTATGTGGATCAATGCAAGAAATAATGCTTACTCTGTGTTAGCTGGGTTGCATTTCTGTGCTGCAGGACCTCACAAACCTCCCTGCCTCCCTGTTCCCTCGAATACTGCTCTCACTTGGTCCCTGGTACGAAAGCTCTGGATTTTTAATTTATTTTTTAAACTCAGGGGTGCTTAACCACTGAGCCACATCCCCAGCCCCCTTTTTAAAAAAATTTGAGACAGGAGTCTTGCTAAGTTGCCGAGGCTGGCCTCCAACTGGTGATCCTCCTGCCGCAGCCTCCAGAGCCAGTGGGATTACAGGTGTGTGCCACCGCGACTTTAAATAATTGAAGCATGCAAGGTGCCTTTCTTTGATCTATCTGAAGGCTCTAGGGCTTTGTCCAAGGTGGAAACCATACATCCAGAGGCCTTCTGCTCTTTTGACGATCGTTTGCTAATAACAGGTACTGGTATTTGCGTGTGCTTCCCAGCAGGATGAGATAAAGGGTGTTTCTTCTGGCAGTTTTAGTGATACATCAAAAACCTCGGCCCACTCAAGGAAGCTGTTCTCATTTATATGCTGCAAAGACTTACTCTCGCTTCACGAGAGCCAGGTATTTCTCAATTTCCGGTTCTCTCTACAGAGAGCTGAAAGCCAAAAGTTGTGGGTTCTGTGATAATTATCCTTCACAGGGACAGACTCAGAGGAGAGGAGGCCTCTTAGTTCTGGCTCTATCCTATTGCCTGGATTGGGTATGGGAGGGCCAGAGCTGCAGCAACCCTCCTGACACCATGGGGCCCACTCTCCCATAGTTAGGGCAGTACAGCAGGAAGTTGGGATGAACTTGTGTCCCTCTGGGCCTCCCATTTCCTGGGAGACATTATCCTGCAATCTTGTTGAAAGTTTTCTTATTCTCTGGGACTTTTGTGGATAGCCTGGAGGCAATTTCTAAGTCACACAGCAAGGGTACCAAGACAGTGACCCCAAGAGGTGGCCACGAGGGTCAATCCTCAGCGATCACTGATTCCTAAGCACAGAACAGGATCTTTACTCGGCCAACCAAAGTGGACTGGGTGCAGACCCGTTTGCCTGGCCTGTGGTCAGGCTGGGTGTTCCCAATGCAGCTCTGTGGTGATTGGCAGCTGAGGGGACAGGAAGTCAGCCCCTGTGAGACCCCAGGGTCAGGAGAGGGGTGGTCCCTGGAATCCTCTCAGAGCAAGATGGCTCAGTGACCCACTCCCGGCTGCCGCAGGGCCCTCAAGGGGGGAACGGGGGAGGGGTCTCCTTGGAGACGCTGTCCCCTGGTGGCCCTGGGACACCTTCTCATGGCGCTGGCTCTTGGGAGGAGCTGTCCCCGTCGTCGCTGCTGCAGGAGCAGAAGGGGAAGGTGCCGCAGCAGGGCTGCAGCCAGGGCTTCCACAGGACGTTGCCCACGGTCAGCTGCTGCGGGACAGGGCGCAGGGTCCCCCGGTGCCGCGCCACGGCCTCGCCCACGCGCTGGACCACGGCGTGGAACAGCGGCTCCGAGTCGGGGGACAGTGGCCGGGCCTCGGAAGGGTCGCTGGAGAGGTCGAAGAGCAGGGGCGGGCTGTGCTGGGTGACGCCGTCCCCGGAGCAGGGGCACAGATGCTGGTCCCCGCAGGCGCCCGAGCCCGCGGGCTGGAACCTCGGTGTCGTGTAGTGGACCTTCCAGAGCCTCCCACCTGTGGGCATAGCGGCGACAGCGGCGCGGCTCAGGGTGGCCCTGCGCCCCACGTCCCTGTCCAGGTCGCCGGTGTCTGTGGGCGTGCGCCCCGGCAGACAGGGTAGGCGGCAGGGGGACTCGGGGATGGACAGATGGTCGGACACGGGGTTGGGATCCGCGCAGGACAGGTGATATATGTATAGACATGGTGGGGGGGTTGACAGACAGATATATATATATATATATGTAAAATCTCTGTGCATTTATCAGTCATCTAGGTCCGGCTGTCTGTCCACCAATAATCTATCATCTATTTTTTCTATTCTGTCTCTTTACCTTCCTAACTTCTGTTAATTATCTATCTATCTATCTATCTATCTATCTATCTATCTATCTATCTATCCATCCATCCATATCCATCATCTACCTACCTATCTGTCCAGCTATTCATTATCTGTGAGTCTGTGTACCTGTCAATCATCTCTGCCAGCACCCAACCATTCTATCTATCTATATGTCTGACTCTCTGCACCCATCTGTCAATCATCACCACCTGTCTGCGCATCTGTGTATCTCTGTTTGATGGTCAATCATCTCTCCTTGTCTATCACCTAGCAATCTTTCCACGGAGCATCTGTGTATCTGTGCTTCTATCAATCATCCTGATTGGAGTCTGGATGTCCCTGTGAACGCAGGTTTTCAGATGAGATTAGCATGTACATCAAAATAACTAGACAAAAGCAGGGGACCCCCCTTGATCAGCGGTGCATATACCTATTCTTTAGATCCATCTCTATGTCTATCCATCCACATAGCATCTGTCTATTTACCTATCCATCTACCCATCCACCCATCTATTCATCTATCTATCTATCTATCTATCTATCTATCTATCTATCTATCTATTTATCTATTCTCCTGCTCATCTATCCATCCAACCATCCATCTATCCACCCACCCATCCAACATCCATTTATCCATCCATCCATTATTATCTATCTATCTATCCATTCACCATCTATCTATCCACCCTTCCATCTATCCATCCATTCATCTATCCATCCATCCACCCATCATCTATCTATTCACCCTCCTGCCCATCCATCCATCCACCAATCCACCATCCATCTATCCATCCACCCTCCCATCCATCCATCCATCCACAATACATCTATCCACCCACTCACCATCATCTATCTACCCGTCCATCCATCCATCTATCCATCCAACCATCCATCATCTAGCTAGCTAGTGATCCACCCATCTATCCACCAATCCATCATCCATCTGTCCATCCATCCATCTATCATCCATCTATCCATCCATCCACCCACTCATCCATCCATCTATCCTTCCACCCACTAATCCATCCATCTATTCATCCATTCCCCCATCCATCCATGTATCCATCCATCCATCCATCCATCTATCCATTCCCCCATCCATCCATCCATCCATCATCCATCCATCCATCCATGTACCCATCTACCCATCCACTCATCATCTACCTATGTATTCCATCTATCTATCTATCTATCTATCTATCTATCTATCTATCTATCTATCTATCTATCTATCTATCTTCCTGCCCACATATCCACCCACCCATCCATCCATCCATCCATCCATCTACGTGTCTATCCATCCATCTACGTGTCTATCCATCCATCCATCTATCCATCTTCCTCCCTCCTCCGGCTGCATCTCCCAGCGCCCCCTGGCGCCCGGCAGCAGGACCTGTGGTACTCACTCTCCCTGTGGTGCCAGCGGGCCGCGTGCAGGAACTGTCCACAGTAGTGGAAGAGGAACTCGTGCTCAGAGTGCTCCACATCTCCTCGCAGCAGCGGTACCAGGCTGCGGCCGTCAATCACCCTGATTGATGCAGAGAGCAAGGGCAAGGTCAGACCAAGGATGCTCAGGAGCAGTGACGGCCAGTGGGGGGATGCGATCCCGGGGCTAGAAGGGCCCCAGATGAGTGTGTCACAGAGACTCCTCAACCGAGTGGCGCTGGGTATTCTAACAAGAGGTCTGTGGTATTCTAAGACACAACGCCATCGCCATCTCGTAGGCAGCACCCCCTAACCATTATGCACACCCGCCCGCACCCCGCCATGACCCTGGATATGCATGCAGAGTCTCCTGAGTCCAGCCAGACAGCCAGGAAGTCCTGCTTTGTGATTTAAAAACAATCTGAATATTGAATGTAGAAATGCAAGTGTTTTCCTCAAAAAAATATTTTAAGCCTATTAATTTATTTTTGCAGTGCTGGGGGTGGAATCCAGGTGCTCACCCCTGAGCTCAAGGTCCCTGGCCCTGTTATTTTATTTTTAGTTGGAGTTGTCCCTCAGGGTCCCAGGGAGGCTCGGTGCCAGGACCCCTGTGGATACCCAAACCCAAGGGTGCCTACATCTGTTCCATGAGGAGACAAGATGTCCTCCTAGGACCCACGGATCTCCTCCTGCATGGAATTGCTGTAATTTAGGGAATGAGACCAGAAAAATATCTGTCCGTGTTCAGTATGACTCAGTTCTTAAAATACTTCCCATGTGGACTTGGTGGAATTGTCAACACAGAACCCCAAGACACAGAGCACCGGGTGTGTAATCATGTGGCTGGGAAGGTATTTGGTGGATGAGAGCAACCACCAACATCATTTGAGTTTAGGTTGAGCTGCTAACCCACAGTAATGTTGGTGGGCATTGTCTAAGTAGTTGAAGGCCTTCAAGGCAAAGAACAGGTCTACTGGAGAAGATGGGATTTTTTTGGTCTCAAGACTGGCATAGAAATAATGTCCAGGGGTGCAGTCTGCTCGCTGAGTGCAAGGCTTTTGGATTTACTACTGGCTGTCACACGCCCGTGAGCCAGCTCTTTAAAATAAATGTCTTCAGTAGACAGATTGACAGAGGATAGATAGATAGATAGGTGACAGATGTAGACAATGAATCGATAACAAATGTTAGATACACAGATGGAAGATGGAGGGATGTTGATAGATAGCAGATAGAAACATGATGGATAGGTAGTTAGATGATGGATAGATAAATGATAGGTTGATGATAGATAGATAGATGGCAGATAGATAATCTCCACGGAGACATATTTTTATACACACACATACCCTAGTGACCAATCTGTCTTCAGAGACCTCATGATCCCCTGATATATAATACGAAAATTCTTCCATGGAGTGAGAAGTTGGGGGGACCCTAGACCTTCCATTAAATAGGGGAACTAGTCACTGTAAATGTAGTTGAGAGCAACTCAGCATCAGCATACTGATTTTCCCCTCCCTCCCTTCCTCCCTAGTGCTGAGCATGGAGCCCAGGGTCTCTCAGTGCCAGGGAACTTTGCCGGTGCTCACCACTGACCTGCACCCCACTTGTCATAGAGCATTCCTTAGTGGCATTTCCAGCCCTGAACTGAGAGCGAGGGGGGCTCATAGGAGGGAGGGAAGACGACCTTGTGAACACGGACCTGTCCTGGGGCACCTGGCCGCCCCCCAGCTGGACCACGGTGGGGAACACGTCCATCAGGCTGGTGGGCTCCTGGATCACACGGCCAGCGGGCAGCACACCAGGCCACCGGAAGATCCCAGGGACTCGGATGCCCCCTTCCCAGCCACCCATGCCTTTGCCACCTGCCAGGAGATGACATCAATCATGGTTGGGCCTCTGCAGGGACCGTCCTACCCTAAAGAGGTGTGTGGCTGAGGACGTTAGGGGTGGGGACCCAGCAGGCAGGCATAAGGCAGGGCGCCATCTTCCTCCTTTTCCATCTCTACATCCACCTCCTTCTTCTCCATCTCTTCCTTTACTATCCCCTCCTCTTCCTCCTCCTCCTCCTCCTCCTCCTCCTCCTTCTGCATCTCCTCCTCCTTCTTCTTCTCCTCCTACTGCTCCTTCTCTTCCTCCTTCTCATTTCTCTCCTCCTCTTCCTTCTTCTCCTCCTCTTCCTCCTCCTGCTCCTTCTTTCTCTCCTCCTCCTCCTCTTTCATATCCTCCTCCTTCTCCTCCTCCATCTCATCCTCCTCCTTTTCCTCCAACTGATCCTCTTCCTCCATTTCCTCCTGCTTTTTCTACTCCTGCTTATATCGTCCTCCTCCTCATCTCTCTCTCTCTCCTCGTCCTCCTCCTCCTCCTCCAGCTCCTCTTTCTCCTCCATTTTCTTTTTTTCTCCTCCCTTTCCTCCTCCATCTCTTCCTCCTGCTCTATCTCCTCCTTCTCCTCCTCCATCCCCTCCTCCTTTTCTCCCTCTCCTCTTCCTCCTCCTAATCTCTCCTCATCCTCTTCATCATCATCTCTCCTCATCCTCCTCCTTCTTCTCCTTCTCCTCCTCCTTCTCCTCCATCTCCTCCTCCTCCTCCTCCTCCTCCTCCTCCTCTTGCTCCTTCTTCCTCTCCTCCTCCTTTTTTTATATCCTCCTCCTCCTTCTCCTCCTTCTTCTCCTCCTTTTCCTCCTTCTCCTTCTTTTCCTCTTCCTCATCTCTCCTCCTTCTCCTCCTCCATCTCCTCCTCCTCCTCCTCTTCTTCATCATCATCCTTCCTCCCCCCACTTTGTAGTCTCCTTGCTCTGGCATCTCAGATGCGGGCTCCTCTGGCTCCCTGTCCCCGTCCCTCCCTGTGGCCAGCCCCTCACCTTTATAGATCCCGTTGTACCCCCCCAGCTGCTCGTGTTCTTCTGTGGCCTCCAGTAACCCTCCATGATCAGAGGCAAAATAGGTGAGCGTGGAGTTCTTCAGACCGTTCTCGTCAAGGGCATGGAGGACTTTACCTGTGGAGAAGGTGGAAGGTGTCAGAGGGAGCGCCCACACGGGTCTCAGCTGGTGGCATGCACTTCCCATTCTGTGCGCAAGCCACCTCATTCTGGACAGTCACAGAAAGAGCCCCCTGCCCAGAGCTCACAGGGGCATGTGTGATGTGTGATGTGATGCTGAGACTGTTTTGCCCAGGTCTGCTTAGCACCGTGTTGCCTCGAAAACCAGGAGAGACTTGCAAAGAAATATCCAGGATGTCGCCAGGAGGCGTGGTTTCGACGTGCGGTGCCTGTGGGGGTCAAGTGCCCTAATAAAAGTGTGAGAGGGTGGCCCGGGGCAGGGAAAAGCCATGACAGATTCCGGCCCACGTGGAAGGAACCACAACCAATAGCAGTCAAATATATGATGGCCATGATCAGCAGAGCAGGGGACACCTGCAAACCCAGTAGTAGCTCCCTGCACCATGGAGACCAGCGGTCCTTCCTACCCCTGAAGGCACAGAGGCCAATTCACGAGGGATGTGAGCTGCTGTCCTCCTCGGGGACATCTGCCTCTCACGTAGCTCAGATGTCAGGAAGTTCATGCGAGGACGTGTCACCTGACCTGCGGGGGCTTCCACGTCTCCAAGAAACCCTCACAGATGGAAGGGTCTGCAAGTTCTTGCTTCTCTCTAGCGTGTCCCCAAGCCCCGAAAGCAGAGCCCTTTTTCTCCACGATGCTGAGAGCTAACGTTGTCTCTCTGCTTCCTGTAACCACTAAGGGTGACGCGGAACGACAGCTTCTCACAAAACTGACTGCTAGCAAAATGATTGGTTTTGTGCAAAATTAGACTATCACTGGGAATAAGTGAACAAACAAGGCACAGGATTGGGGTGTACTCTCCCCCATTCTTGATCTTGACTTACCTACAAACCAGTCCATCTCCTCCACGTTGTCTCCGTATAAACCGTGGCGGCTTCTCCCGAGGAAGGCTTTCGAGGTCACCAGAGGAGTGTGGACGTGCATCAGGGACACAAAGAGGAGAAAGGGCCTGTCCTTGTTTCTGAAAGAAGAAAACCAACCACTTGAATTATGGACGGGAGATGATGGCCTCCACAGTGGACCTTGAATCTGATGCGTCCATGACCTGGGGTCACCTGCTGGGATTTCACTGTGAGGGGTCCCCCAAAAATTCAGGGGTGAGACCATGTAAGAAAGTTCACAGGTAAAAAGATTAGATTATAAGAGGTGTAACCTAATCAGTGGATTAATCCACTTGCATGGACTAACTAGGTGGTGACTGCAGCAGGTGGGGTGTGGCTGGAGGAGGGGGTCCCTGGGCTGTGCCTTTGGGGTCTCTGTCCTGTCCCTGGTGAGCAGAGCTCTCTCTGCTCCCTGGTGCCGTGTCCTGAGCTGCTCTCCTCCTCCAGCCCTTCCACCATTTTGTTCTGCCTCCCCTTGGGCCAGAGCCACGGAGTCGGCCACCAGAGACTGAACCTCGGACACCATGAGCCCCAAATAAACTCTTTCTTCTCTATTGTTCTTGTTGGGTCTTTTGGTCACGGTGGCAATTTTGTCTGAGTAAAACAGCATCCATGGTCAGTATAGTACAGGAAGAAGTTTTGAGAGGGAGGGATGGGACACCTCTCCACCCACCTCGTATTAGAGAACATTGCCACATTTACTCCATTATATGATTAGGTGCTGCTAATTCTGACTTTCCCTGATTTATAAATTAAATATCTTCATAGGTATGTATGCATATGGAAATAGCTATATATTATAATATATGTATGAATATTGATTTATAACATATATAAGAATGGTTGGGTGCTCTCCGGGGTTTCAGGCATTCCCTAGGCCTTGGAAGGAGTCCGCAGTGCATGACCACTACTCTGATACTTTCCAATGCAGCCCCAGTAACTCAATACAGAGACGTGAGTGTGGAAACCAATTCATAGGAAGAGGTCGGACCTTTCCTTTTTCTTCTTTTTTTTAGCACCAGAGATGGAACCCAGGGGTGCTTCAACACTGAGTCCCATCCCCAGTCCTTTTGATATTTTATTTACAGAGTCTCACTGAGTCTCTTAGGGCCCCGCCAAGTTGCTGGGGCTACCCTCCAACTTGCCATCCTCCTGCCTCAGCCTCCCAAGCTGCTAGGATGACAGACGTGGGCAAAGTGACTCCATAAAGAAATCCTGCAGCATATACACTGTGGAATACTATGTATCCATGAAGAAGGATAGCTTCCTTTCATTTGTGAATGAAGTGTGAGGTTGGACCTTTCCAATACACCTGCTGCTATTGGACCCCAGAGTAGCTCATGGCTCAGAACCTGCCCCCCACCCCCATCGTGAGGGTCCCCACCTTTGGATGTAGGCCGTGGCTTCCTGCAGCATCCGTCGGGTGGTGCTCCCCACATCCATGGGCTGCTCGGTGACCTGGTGGTTCCGCATGAGCACGCAGTTCCAGCGACGCACGAACCCACAGCTGGAGAACCACGTGACGAAGAAGAGGAAGACGAGGCCGGCCGCGCCCCCGACTACCGTCCAGGGAACCGAGAGGAGGCCGCTGAGCTTGGCGGCGGCGAGCGTCAGGACGCCCAGAGCCAGGACGCGGGTGTAGCGGCTGAACCGGGCAGCCACGCTGACCCACAGGTCGGGGGGCCTGTCGGGGTCGCAGTCGTTGATCAGGGTGAAGGGCAGGCCGTAGAAGTAGTCGAAGCCGTGGTTCAGCGGGTGGTGGCAGTGGTCCCCGCGGGATGCGCAGCTCACTCCCTGGTGCCACTTTCCTGCAGGTGGGGGTGGGTGGTCAGCCACACCAAGGGCGCATGCGTTGCCTGGGACAAAAATCCCCGGGGCCATTTCGATGCGGTCAGGGGAAAGAAAACCTCCAAAAGAGCAGATCCTGAATCAGCGGAGGCCATGAGGGACCTCAGCCAGGATTTGCTTTTGGTCTGGGTACCAGGGATTGAACTGAGAGCCCCATCCCCAGCCCTTTTTGTGTTTTCTTTAGAGACAGGGTCTCGCTGAGTTGCTCAGGCCCTCGCTAAATGGCTGAGGTGGGCCTCCAACTTGCGGTCCTCCTGCCTCAGCCTCCCAAGCTACTGGAATTACAGGCGGCGGAGCCAGGCTCTGAAGAACTTTCTGATTCCTTGAGGCTGAAGAAGATAGACAGGTCCAGAGAAGAAAAGAGGACAAAGAATATATCAAAGAACCTTGACCGTCTGCAATGAGGAGAACTTCTGAACTGGAAACCATCCGAGAGCGCCGGGCCAGGTACCCACTCGAGAGGCGGAGCAGGATGAAAGTGTTTTTTTTTCCTCTGGAGGAAATTGGTCCCTCCACAATTGGATGGGAGGGGAATCAGGCGTCCGCATACCTACGAGGCCGGTGGCATAGCCTTGCTGCTTTAGGATTTTTGCAAAAGTGGTTTCGTTGGCAGGAAGCCCGCCGGAGCCGGCGTTCCAGTAGAGGACCCGGTACTTATCGTTGTCCATTCCTGTGGAACCGACAGCAGAGCAAGGTTCACGTTCCCTTTGCCAGGAACAGGTCTTAGCAAAGGGATTCTGGGCACCAGGGGACAGTGGGCAAGGATCTGGCTGTCAGCACTCGGGGAAGGTCGGAGGTGGTGCTCTGGGTATGAGTGGGTGCAGATCAGAGAGGTTGTTAAATGTGCTGTCGTGCACAGCATGACCCCACCACAGAGCACCATCCGCCCCGATGTCAGCTGCATAAGTTGGACACACCTTGCCTATCATGAGAACCGACCCAGTATCTATCTATCTATCTATCATTACCTATCATCCAGGTATCATTATGTCGCATCTATCCCCTTTCTATCCACACATCATTTATCTGTCACCTGTATGTGCATTACGTTTCTGTCACCTCTATATACCTCTATCACCCATCATTAGCTATCACCTGTTCCTCTATTATCTATTGACAGGATTGCTATCAATTGAGCATCATTGATACGTATTCCTTCATTGATGGTATCACCATCATCATCTATGGAGCATTGTCTATCACCTGTCAATCACCATATATCTGCTTCTCATCCACCAATGATGGTGGTCAACCCATCCCAGAAGGCTCCCTCCGTACAGCCTACCAAGGGCACCTACCTGGCAATTTGATGAGACAACAGCCGGTACATGGAAAATATCAGAAGGAAAAGAACCTTTCTCCTGCACCAGACATGCAGACATTTGTGTTGGGTGTTTTTTCCCTGAGTAATTTTTTTTTTCTCTGAGTATCAGCACAATTCCCATAGAACCTGCATCGTGCTGCATGTCCCAGGTCAGCTAGGGACAATTTAGACCTCAGGAAGAGGTGTGTGACTCCCATTTGATTAACCCAGGGGTACCTAACCACTGAGCCCTGTCTGCAGCCCTATTTTGCATTTTATTTAGAGACAGGGTCTCACTGAGTTGCTTAGGGCCTCCTTTTGGCTGAGGCTGGCTTTGAACTCGTGATCCTCCTACCTCAGCCTCCCAACCGCTGGGATGACAGGCGTGCGCTACTGTGCCTGGCTTTGTGCATGGGTTTTAACAGCCACTGGGGGCTGAGGGTCCTGAGGGGGTGAGGGCATAGGATACCCTGTTCTGAGCACACACTGCAGGAAGGTGACAGGAGGGCACATTAGCCTTCACGTTACCAGTCTCTTGGAGATCGCTACCCAGATAGAGCAGCGATGGGGTCCAGGCTGCAGCCTGGAGCTGCTGTCCATGGTCCCTGGGACACCCACCTGATCGGAGGGCGTATCTCCCGGTGAGAAAGGCAGCTCTGCTCGGGGTGCAGAGCGGGGCGGCCGCCAGGTGCTGGGTGAGTCTCACACCCTCCTCCGCCAGCCGGTCGATATTGGGGGTCCTGAGCAAATCAGATGAATGTCACTTGGGAAAGGGACGGGAACGCTCTGGGCTCCAGAAGAGGCCAGCATGGAACTTCCCGGGGAGGCATGGCACCTGTCTTAGTGCGCCCAACTCTGAGTTTGCAAAGGACAGATGAGGCTCACCCTGGGCGGTTCCTCCTACAGCCCTCCCCCACCTCAGCTGTTACCAAAGCAACAAAGGGCCCCCAGATTTTGAATTTTGACTTTGGCCTG